AAGTGCACGTAGCGGCCTAAGTGCACGTAGCGGCCTAAGTGCACGTAGCGGCCCAAGTGCACGTAGCGGCCTAAGTGCACGTAGCGGCCCAAGTGCACGTAGCGGCCTAAGTGCATGTAGCGGCCTAAGTACACGTAGCGGCCTAAGTGCACGTAGCAGTGGAGGGCGGCAGTGTTGCCATCCAGCGGGCGTTGCGCGCAAATTGGACGCGCCGCTCATTAGGGACGAGGGCGTCCCCCGCATCTCATCCCTCACCCCCTCATCCCTTCATCCCTCATCCCACGCCTCCCTCATCCCCTGCTTCCCTCATCCCTCACCCTCTCATCCCTCACCCCCTCATCCCTTCATCCCTCATCCCACGCCTCCCTCACCCCATGCTTCCCTCATCCCTCACCTCTTCATCCCTCACCCCTTCATCCCTCACCCCTTCATTCCTCACCCGTCATGCCTCAACCCTCACTCCCCCACCCTTCACCATCTGATCCCCCACCTCCCTCATCCCTCGCCCCCTTATCCCATGCACCCCTCACCCCTCCCCCCTCATCCCACAAAATGGGGAGCAGAAGATGAAGCCCTCAAGGTTTGATGCCCAAAATGCGGGAGCGTGGGGATCAGCGGGGGCTAATTAGGGGATTTGGGGATCACGACGTGGGATTTGGGGGACTTGCAGGGAATTTTAGCGCCGCCAATTCGGCGGGGAATTGGGAGTTGGAGGGGAGGGAAGGGNCCCTTCACTGTGACGCCCTTCACTGTGGCACCCTTCACTGTGACGCCCTTCACTGTGGCGCCCTTCACTGTGGCACCTATCGCAGCAGCACCCTTCATTATTGCATCATTCACTGTGGCGCCCTCCGATGTGGCGCCCTTTGTTGTGGCGCCCTAATGAAGATGGGCCAAGAGTCCTCATCAGAGTTGAACGGGGCCCTCATCAGAGGGGCGTGAGGCCCTGATTATAGAGGCGTGGGGCCCTCATTATAGAGGCATGGGGACCTCATTAGAGGGGTGAGGTGCCCTCATTAGAGGGGCGCAAAGCCCTCATTATAGAAGCGTGGGGCCCTCATTCTGNAGAGTGCCAGCAGCAACAGAGTGCCAGCAGCAACAGAGTGCCAGCAGCAACAGAGTGCCAGCAGCAACAGAGTGCCAGCAGCAACAGAGTGCCAGCAGCAACAGAGTGCCAGCAGCAACAGAGTGCCAGCAGCAACAGAGTGCCAGCAGCAACAGAGTGCCAGCAGCAACAGAGTGCCAGCAGCAACAGAGTGCCAGCAGCAACAGAGTGCCAGCAGCAACAGAGTGCCAGCAGCAACAGAGTGCCAGCAGCAACAGAGTGCCAGCAGCAACAGAGTGCCAGCAGCAACAGAGTGCCAGCAGCAACAGAGTGCCAGCAGCAACAGAGTGCCAGCAGCAACAGAGTGCCAGCAGCAACAGAGTGCCAGCAGCAACAGAGTGCCAGCAGCAACAGAGTGCCAGCAGCAACAGAGTGCCAGCAGCAACAGAGTGCCAGCAGCAACAGAGTGCCAGCAGCAACAGAGTGCCAGCAGCAACAGAGTGCCAGCAGCAACAGAGTGCCAGCAGCAACAGAGTGCCAGCAGCAACAGAGTGCCAGCAGCAACAGAGTGCCAGCAGCAACAGAGTGCCAGCAGCAACAGAGTGCCAGCAGCAACAGAGTGCCAGCAGCAACAGAGTGCCAGCAGCAACAGAGTGCCAGCAGCAACAGAGTGCCAGCAGCAACAGAGTGCCAGCAGCAACAGAGTGCCAGCAGCAACAGAGTGCCAGCAGCAACAGAGTGCCAGCAGCAACAGAGTGCCAGCAGCAACAGAGTGCCAGCAGCAACAGAGTGCCAGCAGCAACAGAGTGCCAGCAGCAACAGAGTGCCAGCAGCAACAGAGTGCCAGCAGCAACAGAGTGCCAGCAGCAACAGAGTGCCAGCAGCAACAGAGTGCCAGCAGCAACAGAGTGCCAGCAGCAACAGAGTGCCAGCAGCAACAGAGTGCCAGCAGCAACAGAGTGCCAGCAGCAACAGAGTGCCAGCAGCAACAGAGTGCCAGCAGCAACAGAGTGCCAGCAGCAACAGAGTGCCAGCAGCAACAGAGTGCCAGCAGCAACAGAGTGCCAGCAGCAACAGAGTGCCAGCAGCAACAGAGTGCCAGCAGCAACAGAGTGCCAGCAGCAACAGAGTGCCAGCAGCAACAGAGTGCCAGCAGCAACAGAGTGCCAGCAGCAACAGAGTGCCAGCAGCAACAGAGTGCCAGCAGCAACAGAGTGCCAGCAGCAACAGAGTGCCAGCAGCAACAGAGTGCCAGCAGCAACAGAGTGCCAGCAGCAACAGAGTGCCAGCAGCAACAGAGTGCCAGCAGCAACAGAGTGCCAGCAGTTAACATGTTATATGCTACGTAACATAACATACATATTATACGCTATATGTCATACGTTACCTGTAACGTGACATATTAAACATGTTACATGTAACGTACAATACATCTCACAGATGTTGTTATTCACAGAAGAGGCATATAATGAAGTTTACATATTAATCAACTATATAAAAACCTCTTCAACATATGAAGAAACATCTTCCCGGAACCTGATGTTTGGTTCACCAACGCCAAAGAAAAGCCGTATTTAAATTATTGAACATTTAATGTACTGCGACGTACATCTTGTACATGTTATGTACTGCGACGTACATCTTGTACATGTTATGTACTGCGACGTGCATCTTGTACATGTTATGTCCCTGTCTCTTATACACATCTAGATGTGTATAAGAGACAGCTTCATTATCGCATCCTTCGATGTGGCGCCCTTTGCTGTGGCGCCATAATGAAGATGGGTCAAGAGTCTTCATTAGAGTTGAACGGGGCCCTCATCAGAGGGGCGTGAGGCCCTGATTATAGAGGCGTGAGGCCCTCATTATAGAGGCATGGGGACCTCATTAGAGGGGGTGAGGTGCCTTCATTAGAGGAGCTTGGGGCCCTCATTATAGAGGCGTGGGCCCTCATTATAGAGGCGTGAGGCCCTCATTATAGAGGCGCGGGGCCCTCATTAGAGGGACGCGGAAACATGAATGCTGCCTAACGAGGAGGCATAAAATCCCATTAGCGGCGAGGCCCGCTGGGGCCCCACGGGGGGAGATGGAGGGGAGACGAAGGGGAGTGAAGTGCGGGGGAGGAGTGAAGTGTGAGGGGGAGAGGTGGCTGGGGTCGCGTGGGGGGACCAGGAGGGGAGNACAGTCCCCCTCACGTGTACAGTCCCCCTCACGTGTACAGTCCCCCTCACGTGTACAGTCCCCCTCACGTGTACAGTCCCCCTCACGTGTACAGTCCCCCTCACGTGTACAGTCCCCCTCACGTGTACAGTCCCCCTCACGTGTACAGTCCCCCTCACGTGTACAGTCCCCCTCACGTGTACAGTCCCCCTCACGTGTACAGTCCCCCTCACGTGTACAGTCCCCCTCACGTGTACAGTCCCCCTCACGTGTACAGTCCCCCTCACGTGTACAGTCCCCCTCACGTGTACAGTCCCCCTCACGTGTACAGTCCCCCTCACGTGTACAGTCCCCCTCACGTGTACAGTCCCCCTCACGTGTACAGTCCCCCTCACGTGTACAGTCCCCCTCACGTGTACAGTCCCCCTCACGTGTACAGTCCCCCTCACGTGTACAGTCCCCCTCACGTGTACAGTCCCCCTCACGTGTACAGTCCCCCTCACGTGTACAGTCCCCCTCACGTGTACAGTCCCCCTCACGTGTACAGTCCCCCTCACGTGTACAGTCCCCCTCACGTGTACAGTCCCCCTCACGTGTACAGTCCCCCTCACGTGTACAGTCCCCCTCACGTGTACAGTCCCCCTCACGTGTACAGTCCCCCTCACGTGTACAGTCCCCCTCACGTGTACAGTCCCCCTCACGTGTACAGTCCCCCTCACGTGTACAGTCCCCCTCACGTGTACAGTCCCCCTCACGTGTACAGTCCCCCTCACGTGTACAGTCCCCCTCACGTGTACAGTCCCCCTCACGTGTACAGTCCCCCTCACGTGTACAGTCCCCCTCACGTGTACAGTCCCCCTCACGTGTACAGTCCCCCTCACGTGTACAGTCCCCCTCACGTGTACAGTCCCCCTCACGTGTACAGTCCCCCTCACGTGTACAGTCCCCCTCACGTGTACAGTCCCCCTCACGTGTACAGTCCCCCTCACGTGTACAGTCCCCCTCACGTGTACAGTCCCCCTCACGTGTACAGTTCCCCTCACGTGTACAGTCCCCCTCACGTGTACAGTCCCCCTCACGTGTACAGTCCCCCTCACGTGTACAGTCCTTGTATTTCCCCACTAGTCACTTGTCACCCCACAAGTCACTATAGTCACCCCACTAGTCACTAGTCACCCCACTAGTCACAAGTCACCCCACCAGTAACTATAGTCACCCCACTAGTCACTAGTCACCCCACCAGTCACTAGTCACTTCACTAGTCCACTTCGCTAGTCACTAGTCACCCTACCAGTTACTGTAGTCACCCCACTAGTCACCCCACCAGTCACTATAGTCACCCCACTAGCCACTAGTCACCCCACCAGTCACTAATCACCCCACCAGTCACTATAGTCACCCCACCAGTCACTAGTCACACCACTAGTCACTAGTCACCCCACCAGTCACAAGTCACCCCACTAGTCACTAGTCACCCCACCAGTCACAAGTCAACCCACTAGTCACTAGTCACCAGCAACATAATGAGCCTGGTGTCTTAGAGTAATTACACAAAAGAAAGCGTAAAAAAAGAACAACATAAGATATATAAATATATCCTATATAAATATGGTACACATTATAAGACTTAAGATGCTAGAGATGCCACGTAGCTGCCTAAGTGCACGTAGCGGCCTAAGTGTACGTAGCGGCCTAAGTTCACGTAGCGGCCTAAGTTCACGTAGCGGCCTAAGTACACGTAGCGGCCTAAGTGCACGTAGCGGCCCAAGTGCACGTAGCGGCCTAAGTGCACGTAGCGGCCTAAGTGCACGTAGCGGCCTAAGTGNCTCCTTTCCTGTCTTCTTTCCTCTCCTTCCCTCTCCTTTCCTCTCCTTTCCTCTCTTCTTTCCTCTCCTTTCCTCTCCTTTCCTGTCTTCTTTCCTCTCCTTCCCTCTCCTTTCCTCTCCTTTCCTCTCTTCTTTCCTCTCCTTTCCTCTCCTTTCCTGTCTTCTTTCCTCTCCTTCCCTCTCCTTTCCTCTCCTTTCCTCTCTTCTTTCCTCTCCTTTCCTCTCCTTTCCTGTCTTCTTTCCTCTCCTTCCCTCTCCTTTCCTCTCCTTTCCTCTCTTCTTTCCTCTCCTTTCCTCTCCTTTCCTGTCTTCTTTCCTCTCCTTCCCTCTCCTTTCCTCTCCTTTCCTCTCTTCTTTCCTCTCCTTTCCTCTCCTTTCCTGTCTTCTTTCCTCTCCTTCCCTCTCCTTTCCTCTCCTTTCCTCTCTTCTTTCCTCTCCTTTCCTCTCCTTTCCTGTCTTCTTTCCTCTCCTTCCCTCTCCTTTCCTCTCCTTTCCTCTCTTCTTTCCTCTCCTTTCCTCTCCTTTCCTGTCTTCTTTCCTCTCCTTCCCTCTCCT